CAATTATGCTATCCGCTGGATAGTGATTTAGCCGCTGGATAGTGCTATCCAACGTTTGAACAATCGAGGCTAGGCCGAAAGTGACAAGCCTGGTTCCATTTCGATAGGAAGTCATTTTTCAACACAGCGACTACAAGGTAAGCTTACTTTTGTTGTACAAATATAAAGAAAATAAAAGAAAAAACAAAGTAGACAATAAAAAACAACAGATACCTGAAGTTATCGGCTGCTCGAGTAGCAAACGAAACCGTCTCGGTTTGTGACGAATTGCATTGCTGGAGTTGACGACATAGCACAGATACTGTCGTCTATATTGTTTATTATCTCCTGCAGTTTCCTATTAATATGGTTCATTTTCTAAGCTAAAAACACTGCGGACACTGGGTTTTGCACAACTCCAGAAAAGCTCCCGAGAAGCGCGTCAATTCCCTGTGAAGACTCATGGGACAGTGCTTGCTGTACAGCAGAAGAACAGTATTGCGGCCTCTGTAGTTGCTGTGCCTGTTTACGATACGCTGTGCCTGTCCTCGATTCGCTGTGGCGGCTTGTCCTCAACACGCTGTGCTTGTCGTCAATAGGCCGTGCCTGTCCTCGATACGCTGTGCTTGTCTTCAATACGTTGTGCGTGTGCTCGACACGCTGTGCCCGTCCTCAATACTCTGTGCCTGTCCTAAAGACCCTGTGCTTGCAGCTTTACCTGTGCTCGATAGGCTGCGTCTGTCCAAAAATACGCTATGCCTGTCCTCGATACGCTGTGCCTGTCCTAAATACGTTGAGCGGGCCTTTCGCTGTGCCTGTCCCTATTAGGAACCGAATTTTGACCCTGATGCCTCTTTATAGGACGGTAGCCTGCGTAGAAAGCGTTTCTGTGCGGTTTAGGAGCAAAGAACGAGGAACAAGAATCAAAGACCGCGCGAAAAGTGGCGCAAGTAAAAAAGGGGGAAGGGGTGGGGAAGAGTTAACAGCAAATTACAATTCAAAAATTGATCACAAAAAACCAGGATATATACAGAAACTGAGCGCTATAAAATAAAGCAAGGCAGAGTGCGAACACTTGCCTGGAGAAGTACAGTATAAATTCAAAAACGCACAAAGCAATAGCATAAAGGTTTAAATGAACTAACACTAGTAAGCTGCACTTATTCCCCTCCAAGAAGGCTTGAAAAACTAAAGGCTTATAGCGAAGCTATACAATAAACTCATGAAAATATAAACTGATGTAAACACATGTAAGAACTAATAGCGAAAAAGCTGACGTGTAAAGGCGGCTACAGCCAGCTGCGAAGCAAAATATCGCCCCGTGTAATTCCAGATTAATTCCCCGTGTAATTCCGGAATCCCTTTTAATACATGGGGCGAAAAATAAACAGGCCTGCTACTAATAGGGCTGTAAAGCGATGTGAAGAAAAGATAGGTTGCAGTGCTAGGATGAGGGTAAACCCTTGGTTAACAGCAACCTACTATCTACAGGCTCTTTTACGTACATATTCTGAATGAAAAAACAAATAAATCGTCTTTTTAAATAAAGCGTGTTGTTCATTAGTAATTTTCCTCATTTTCATTCTCGTCCTCTTCTTCTTCACCTTCCTCTTTCTCATTTTCATCAGTTTCCTCATCTTCTTCATCCTCATCCTCCTCTTCCTCATCCTCCTCGTCGAACTCATAGTGAATGTTTTCGTCGCTATCGCTAGATGGTGGTGGGTTGATGACGTACCATGGTCTTTCGCAACAAAGCTTGCCATTGTATGTTCCCCATTCGAATACTCCCGTTGTGCTGACGGTTGTCCAATTGACCATTGAAAAAAACATGTCCTGTTGTACTGTCGAGCAAAGAACGATTGCTAGATTTTTTCTAAAAAAATTTGCGACTAAATTTTTGGTCAAAGTGTCGTCGGTAAAATTAAGAGGAAAATGATGAACTTCTGGAGTTGTGTCATCATGTCGATGTTGTTCATCTTGACAATCGCCGTTTTGTGTTGGAGTGATCGTGATCACGATGTATTTCTGCGGTTGATTGTCTTTTGACGCTAAAAATGAGTCCCATATTGTTTCAAATCCTTTGAGGTTGCGATAGAGACGAAAACGATTGCACATTCGTCTGGCCTTTAAACTTAAAATGGCTTCCTTGAGGGAATTGTTTTGTAAGAGCAATTTTAAAATATGCATGGTCACATCCAAAGGAAGTTTACGAATCATTTGAGTGACATTGAAATAAAAATATTTGTTGCGAATGCTTTTGGATAATAAAAAATCAGCTTCTTTTGGTGTGATGATTTCTTTTTGCAGGGGGATGGTGAGATCAAATTCTGCTTGGTGGATGAGTGGAACATTTGGCCATTGCACATGATATGTGGGATCCATTTGAGTAATAATTTTTTCTTTAATGTCATGGTCGTAGAGATCACAAAGCGGGCCATGACGGCTTGTCTCTTCGTTGTGATGAAATCGGCTATGGTTATATTTCGTAATGTCCTCAATGGTTTCGTCTTCTTGGTTGTGAGGTCTGTGATGCAGTCTTTCTTGCATCATATAGTTGACTGGTAAAGGATAAAGCTGCGAAAAAAATGACATAGTGACAATCTATTTTACTAACACATTATAAATTTTTATTGAGTAGTACCTCTTTTCTGTCAGGTCCAGCAGTAGCCATTGCTAGTGACGCGATAGTTTGTGTCGGTATAGTTTGTCTACTTAAAATCTTAAAATTCCTAAAGTGTCAGAAGAGTGGAAATAAAAAAAATATTATAATAAACTGTATATTTGCCAGCAAAATATCTTCTAAATCCCAAATGAAAAACAGTCTGCTATAGATTCAGAATATACTAAAGTGGTAAGATTTATTAACTGGTCATGATGGTTAGGTCAAGGCAAAATATTAAAATTAAAAAAATAACACAATGATAACAACACAAAAATAGAAGAAAAATGCGAGCATAAAAGAAAAACTCACAAAGTAAAGATAAGAAAAAGAAATTATGACAGTGGTTATTGCAGCCAGTCTGGCATCACTATCCAGCTGTTTTTAGGGTTGCTGTGTGATGTGCCTCCTCAAAAGGGCATAATGTATTTTCAGCATGAGTGCCTCTCAACTTGGATCTTCTGGTGCAGCTAGGCTTGATTACCAGCCATTGTTCTGGACAAATAAGCCCACAATCATCCCCCTGATTGAGAGTGACCAAAGACTGAACTCAGGAGACGGTGGAAATCGAGCCTAGGTGCAACTATATCCCTTGCATACTCTTGCCTTCAAAGGCTTTAAAAGATCGCGTTGTAGCAAGGCTAGGTCTAAGGCTTGATCAGAGAACTATTGCTTTGCATAAGCATACATGTACATGTAGGTGCCTTTCACTGCTCTTTGTGTTATGACACTGAATGCAGATTAGGAGAAGAGGAATACTTTTTTTTTAATAACATTATTTTATTTGGTTACAGCACTTCTTATGACAATACTTACATTTACATGGAGGAAAAATAAAAACAACGTACAAGAGAGAAAGGAAAAATACAATGTTACAGCATTTACAACTAATTAAGCCTAAAAAAAGTTTTACAAATTTGATTACTATTTGCAAAATTGCAAAATAAAACACGATACAACAAAAACACATAAGGAGTCTGTCCTACCAACTAAAAGGTGCTTTACATTTGCATTTGTTTCTACATCACTTTTAACTTTTGGAACTTTTGGAATTATTTAATGACAGCAAGTTTATTTGTCCGAGGGGCAAAGTTTAAGAGGGATCCATTTGTTTTTGAAGGAAGACATATTGTTATTATTAGAGGCAATCTCTTTTTCAATTTCCAAGGAGTTCATAACGGTTTGTATATAAACCTGTAGCACAGGGTTGCAGTTATTTAACTTAAATGTGTAAATATATCGTTTGGCAATAAGGAAAAGATGATGTAGTAATAAATCAGAGATACTATCAATTAGTCCACGACAGATAAGAGAAGAGAAGGCAATGGATTTAGTGGTGTTTTGAGTTATCCATTGATAAATGTCTTTCCAGAATTCTTGAGTGTAACTGCAATACCAGAACAAGTGGGCAAGGGTTTCGGTAAATTCCCCGAAGAGAGAACAGGAGTCTGCTTGTTTTCGGTCGATTTTAAAGAGGAAGTCGTTTGTTGCTATTCGTCTGTGGAGGAGCGTGAATTGGAACACTCAAAGAGGAATACTTAAAAACTTTGTCTGAAGCTAGAAACCAGGATATCCTTGGTCAAGATCAATTGAAACCATCCTCAGGAATCTGAATCAAACCCCGTTTGCAGCGCAGCCCTTGCTTGGCTGCAACCCCCGGCTCCTCTGAAAGTTTGCACGCTAAAAACTTCAATACATAAGTCCATTCAAAACAGTGCAATAGAAAAACGCATCAAACTTACTTCGCTACGAAAACTCTAAAATAAATGAGCTTTCATTATAAATGATCACGTAAACTCGATGTTGACCAAAGCAATCTTAAGCTTCTTAAAAATTAATACTCAATCAGTTCCCTGCAGTTACTATCGACTGATATTTCAACAACCGAAAACAAAGCACTATTTATTAAAAGAAAACTCCAAAGAAGAAAAAAACCTAAAAAGGTAACAGCAAAAGCGAACAGGGATCAACCCACAATCGATCACTGTGAAACTGCTAAAAATTGGAAGTTACTAAATGCTGACAACGTACCAGTTCTCTCAAAGATTCTTCGTCCTCGACCGAAGATGAACTCTCAGATTTTTCGTCTTTAGCGCTTGTCATTTCGCCATCGTAACCACATTCACTAACGAGGCAGTAAACTCGTTTTATGAGCGCAGATTAACGATTTTGTGCTTGAAGGAAATTGGCGCGCTGTAATGTCCACGCCGCCATGTTTTCTCGAAGACTAAAATTCGAACGCTGTGATTGGCCAACAGTTGTTCTAGAAACTCAGCTCGTCCCAGGTTACCACTACCAAAAAGAGGCCACATGTGGAGAGAGAGGTATTGTGTTTCGATCAAATTGTTATCTGGGCAGGCCAGTGAAGATTCCACTTGCTTTGGCCTCCGCAAGGAGATTCGAAAACACTCTTGTCGAGACTGAAGAAGATGGCAAGATCTTTTTTGTTTCGATAGCTCGTCCCGAGAAGCGAAATGCGGTGAATGCAGAGACTGCTAAACAACTTTCAGAAGCGTTTCGCGCTTTTGAGAATCACGATGAATGTTCAGTGGCCGTCTTCTTCGGTAAAGGTGGCTCATTTTGCGCTGGTTATGACCTTCAAGAATTGTCAGAGAGGGATCCGGAAAAATTCTTAAAATCAGTGCCTCCGGTCGGAGAAGGTGATGCACCCATGGTAAGTAAAGTTTCGCGAAAAGTTCAAGCTTTTTCAGAGAATCGAAAACAAGCTTGCAGAGCATTAACGCTTGACTTCCAGAAGAGTTATGGGATTAAAGTTTTTGTACCTTATTTACTGCTTTTTCTTTCGCCCATGACTCTGTTTATCGTTGCAACTGCATATGTTTGCCCGTTGATGGCCATCGTGCTTTTTTGCACGTCAAGTCCCATGTACAGTTGTGTTTTGATAACCCAACGCACGTGCACGACACGCGCGCGTGTCGTGAATCGCTTTTTTCGTGAGCAGGATGTGACTTTTATTGGCTTATAATTATTTCCGGTCAAAAGAGAAGCATGCATGCTGTACAGGTATTTTGATCAACGATTCATCATGTTCATGAGAGCGTGCGTGTGGCATTGGTTGGTGAACAGATGCTTACTACATTCTCAGCGGGAAGTTGATTAATTCTTGTTGTTATGAAATGCAGGAAAATCCAAACTGGTGGTCAGTTACCTGCGAAATAAATCTAGAGATTCCAGTTTGGAAAGTAAACAGAACATGGTGTGTTGGGTAATTCCAGTGGAAAATTTTCCAGATCAGTGGAATTACCCAACATTAAGAAATTTTGCTAAGTTTGCAGAGCTCTAGGAAACGTAACATTCAAATGGGTGATTCCAGAAAATATCCTCACCATACCATGGACGGCGTCTATATTTTAGCGTTAATTTAAAAATTGCAAAATCGACGCTGTTCAAAAGGATCGATTTTCCAATTTTTAAATTAACATTACTTAAGTAACTACGCTGCACAGGGATTTTAATCTTTATTCCCTATTTAAACCTCTCCCCTTCCCGCCTTGCCCTCAGAATTTCCAAAATGGGTTATCCCGCTATGCCATCCGAATTCCATAATCATTAAACCCCCCTCCCATTCGGATTTTCCATTTTTTCGTCAAACCCTTTAGAATTCCTGACATTCATTAAGACTTCAGAAATTCTGGAATGAAACTTAAAAAAAAATAGAAGTTTTCTCCTTATCTCTGTCCAACAGATGCAACCTACATTTCCTTGCTTCCTCTTTACTCATTAAGCAAACCCACTTCCCCCTCCTCCATCCATGGTCCCTCCATGTTTAATAATCTCTCTCTCTCCATGTTTTAAGGGCCCTTCCCGACTGAAACTGAGCAAGCCAGTTATTGGGGCAATAGAGGGGCATGCAGTCGCTGGTGGAATGGAGCTGGCTTTGATTTGTGATCTCAGAGTGGCAGCAGAAAATACTGTCATGGGAATATTTAACAGGAGATTTGGTAATATTCTTTTTATATAAAATGTTGCTAAAAAAGAAAAGTTTCTTATTGTTAGAAAATAAATCACTGTTATGATCATTATCCTTTATCACCTTGAATGGCAGTAAATTTATACCTCATTGCTACTTATTTTTGCAGGCACTTAATTTTGCAAAAATGCAGGAGACAAATTCTATGAGTCTTAATTCATAATTTGGCAGGAATATTGTGCCATAAGGAATTGTGCAAAAAGGCAGTGTTTTTATAAATTGGGCTACCTGTAACAAAAAATTAAACAGTTTTAAACTAAATGTTTTGGGACTAAATTTGCCTTTTACTACAAAGAACAACAGAAATTAAGTTCTAGAAATTCTTATAGCAAAAGTATCAACTTTTTAATTAATGGATTTTAGGAAAGGAGGATACATGTAGAAAGGGTATCAAAGTTTACCTCGTCAGTTTCTTGAAGTTTTTTTCCCTCATATATTTTATTATTGTTGTGTTCCCTATTATCAATCACCAAAACGATTATCTACAGCTGTACTAGGTAATAACACATGGGGACAACTAAATTTTCCAAAAGGACCCCAAGTTCTACAAACAACAAAATTAGTCTTATACAACTTCAGGTGTCCCACTCCTGGATGGAGGAACTGCCAGGTTACCATACATTGTCGGCCTGTCACGTGCTTTTGGACCTCATCATGACTGGCTCATTCGGCCTGTGAGTGCTCAAGAAGTCCTACAGTATGGGACTGGTCAACCTGGAGTAGTCCCTAATGGAAAAGCTCTAGATGAGGCCATTAAACTCAGGTGTCCCACTCCTGGATGGAAACTCATCATACACGCCGTTTCCCACAAGAATCGCTGATTACTGAGCGCAATGGAAAAGTCTGTTTATTACTCTGTGTTCAATGCAGAGTCGTTTTACGATGCACTGTCATATGAGCACTCTAAGGGTGTTAAAGTCCAGACAATTAAAGATTCTATTAAAGGCGCTAAAGAGTTTTTAGAAGGGAAAGGCCGAAAGGGGTCTTTTGATGATTATCTTGATTAGTGAACTTGGAGGAATGTCTTAATCAAGGAAGCTCCATGACTTTAGGATTCTAGAACCAGTGGGTGCTACTCAGCAACATTTTGTACATGGGAAGGCTCTTCCCCAACGTCTAATCCCTTACTCTTTTATAAAATTATACCGTTTTTGACAGAACACAAATACTCCCATTGAAAAAAAATTTATTGGTACATCTCACACATACCTGTAGAGATCTACAGCTTGTCATTTTTATGTAGTGTGAGTGAAGTGCATCTGTTTGAAAAATTTTAATTAAAGACAGGCTTCTGTTAAAGGCTTTATTAAACTTAAGTGACAAATTTCCTAACCCTTTCATATACCTGAATCCTTTAAAGGTACCCACTTTGGGCAGGGCCTCCCCATAGAGGCTGTTATGTGCCTCCCCCCTTGATTAAAGATAAGTAGTGTAAAGAGAGATGGTGAGATACATACAGCTAAGAGCTGTGACAAGGTGAGCTAAAGTTTATCAGCCAAGTACAGTTGTCAGGCCTACCCCCATTTTTGTCTGACTTTTATTTTATCTTGAACAATAACAAACAAGATAAAAAAAATGCAATGAAATGTTTATCTTGACAACTAAAAAAGATAAAAACAATGCAATGAGTCATTGTTAGCTGTTTCTTAGTTACAGGGCTGTGTTCTGATTAAAGTTGTTTAAAGTTCAAATGCATGGTATACATCTAGCATTATTTAAGCAAAAAGTAACTCCTTAGAGGCCCTAGGCATTCTACAGCACAGCCCCAAGTACATCTATGACTGAGTTTCAACACTCTTGCATGACTTTTCTTAAAGGTAATCGAGAGTGTGATAAGATTTGGGAATGTCACTAAGATTTCAAGTAGGCGAAATCAAATAAAGTGGAAGCTCACATAAGCTGACAACCTCGGGACAACAAAAGGGTTCTTGTAACTGGAGCTGTCCATGTACGAAAATGTAAAAAATACAGCGTTTGTGTGGTGAGAGCTAAGAAAAAATAATGAGGTTTTGTGAAGGCAGCCATAAGTAGAGCTGTCTGCTTAAGCAAGTGTCTGTGAGGAGAGTTTTCACTTTAGCTAGGGATCTCTTTTGGTTCTATTTTTCTTGTATTTTCTTAGGAAAGTAGCCCAGGGTCACATCATTGTAACTGGGGGAAATCCCTTAATGGAATCCCTGTTAAATATCCCTTGAGGTACTTGTGATTTGCATAAAAACCAATGCACATGCTAAAGATAATCATCCAGGAAACTTGTCAAAATAATTATACCTGTTCGGTTATTGTTAATTTTTGTACAAAAGGCATCTACAGTGTTGTTCGTCAGTGGACACACATTTGAACAGATTGGACTGTTGGGTGATGAAAAAACAGTGAATAAAGCCAAAACCTCAACCCTCACAAGAATTTGAGTCTTTAATAGTATAGCTTAGCAGTGGTGGATCCAGACCAAACTAAGGCCCGAAGGGCCCAAAAATATTTTTTGGAAGACCGCCCCCCATAACGTGTGTCTGTTTCAAAGGGAGGCTAGGTGCAAAGCCGTTAGCAGAAAACTGCTTTTTTTTCTTCTCATGCAAATAAAACTCATTTTCACGAGAAAGTCTTATGCACTTACACCCAAATGAAGGTGAGAGTTTTTTGAACTTGGAAATGGCGTATTGAGAGTTTAGAAGGAAGAGTAACATGGAGGGGAAGGGTAGGGATACTGTCTTCTGCCCTCGCCCCCTCCCCCGTTGTTTTCTAGTTTGAGCTCGTTTCAGCCTTTGCGCGTCTTTATCTCTTACTTAACGAACCACGAAAGGAAAAATTCAATAATGTAAAATAGCTACGCAGGCTACGTACTAAATGGTACCGGCAATGACAGGAAGTTTTTGTAACATTTGGCATAAGCGATCATAAGCCTCTATGTGGAGTAAAATAAAGATATACTTTTTCCAAGGCATACCCTTACTGACCCTTTTAAAATGTATGAGATTTAAAACGCTATGTCATGCTATTTTCTCTCCTAAGGGTAACCAGTCAAGTCGACCAAAATTTTAAGAAAGAGTATACGTAATATTTCGCGATAATATATTGACTTAGTCAGCGCTTAAAGCGAAGCTGCGGACAATATTAATTTATAGTCTGCTGAAACAAAATTTAAAATCATGTGATGCTAAGCGGTGAAGGCAACGAGAACGGTGAAAAAATAGCAAAAAAGCAACTTTGCACTTACAGCACACTTTTTTGTACATTTCTTTCCCGTTGTTTTGCACGACTACAACGTGAAGCTTCCAGAAACTTCCTAGTTACACGTTTTATGGAGGAAATGTCGTACGTGTTCTTGTTTACTTTTTTTTCACTTCCGCTCATTTTCACCTTGATAGCCGCTAGCAATTCTCATTGTCTCTCCGCCGCTACAAAATTTTCATGTTGTTCTTCCAGAGAAAAACGGTCTCCTTTGATTTTGTGCTCTAACTCTCTGTCGCTCTTTTTCTCGTTGAGCTTCGCTAGCCTGTCGCTTACTTTCTCTTTTTCCCTGTCTTTCAAATTTGTGGACATGACAGGAGCCTGACATGACAATTAATTTACGGTTGAGACATATTAGCGGATGGCTATGCGATTTCCCGCCAAAATAACCTCGAGTTACATTTGGGTTGCCATGCCTGTCGATTGAGTTATTTTAAATTGGTATGCCTGTAGTGCGGACGGACGGGCGATCGGACGTAGGTCACGTGATTACCAAAATTTCTCGGATGGGTAGAATACCACATTTTCTTAGGTATGGGGCTACGCTCGTGGAGCTCCGCCAAAAAAAGTATCCCTAAACAATCAGAAACCACTGGGTAGTTTTGAATGTAATAAAAAAGTAACGAAAAAAACATATTCAGTGTAAAAAAAACATAGCACATTCAACTTGTGAACAGAGAAAAAAGGAAAGAAAAAAAAGGAAAATGCAACAGAATAAGCAAAACGAGTCAAACAGTATTAAAGCTTTTATTTACATTAACAAACTAGGTGGTTTTGTTCCACTAACTATTGACTAAAATACATAAAACCTGCCACAAATGTCTTTACTGAGACTTCTATTTAAGAGCATCGGAACATCTCATACATAATTGTGGACACGGTACCTCTTTCACTGCCAAATTAGCCAAAGGCAAATTCGACCAGATTTACAAATTTCATTTTGTGAAATTTTGATAAACAAACAGCACCATGTGTAAGTACAGGCGGAAAGCTTTCATTTGAATGGTCATATCATCGGATTTCGTCCACATACTCAAAAGTTAGAGTCAACTTACAAAACTCCATCAAACACTTTGGCAGTTAAAGGGGTACTAGTTGTTTCTAGCTCCTGATAACTTGAGCAACGACGAAGACGACAGCAACGAGAACGGCAAAAAAGAAAAAGGATTATAGGCTATGTTCACATTATACCAGACAGATTTCCCTTTATCCGGCATCGTGTGAACACCTATCCCGCGATATATGACTCTCCACTTTAGAGATGGACGCTGCGCAGCTTCGCGCCTTTACAGAAATCGCGCCGAAATCACCGTTCATATGTGTGACCAGAAGCGCTATCCGAAATGGTTTTCGTGCTGGCGCAAGCGCTATCCAGCATAATGTGAACACTGCCTTAGATTAGCAAAACAAAACTTAGCACATGCATCAAACTGTTTCTGTACATTTCTTTGCCGTGGTTGCACCACAACGACGTGAACAGGTCTCAACAAAAGACGACGATTTTCTGATTCTTTTTGTAAACTTAGATGGAGTCCTTTAAAATTCAACTGTAGAAAAATTCACCGACACTTTCAAGACAAATATATTTGCACGACATGGAGTAAGAGCGATGAATTTTGACACAGCGTGAATTCACTTTTCAAGAGACGTTTTCCGTGCCACTGTGGTCGTCGTCGATGCTTAAAATCCCCAGTGTAAAGATCACTGATCTTAATATTGCCGATACCGAGCTTAGAATGGATACAACCTTTGTTCACCACCTAGTTTTACACTAAAATCCTGAAGCAAACACGGTCACTAGATTACTAACGTTACTTCCTAAAATACGCTATACAATGTAAAAAGGCTTAATGCACAAGCCTCATTTTTGTTACAAAAATATCTTTGGAACTAAAAAATAGGGCACCAACATGTAATGAACACTTTGAAAACTCCAAGAATATAATGACTGATAAATGTATGTACATGGACGAATGAATTGAAATATTTAACTAAAGGCACTATCAGATTGTTAACATTCGGAGCATCAGTAGAGACCTTTAGATTGGAGGACGAGAACGACTATACGAGTACGAGATTTGACTTAAAATTTCTTCGCGTACTCTCAAAACATAGACACCTCAGAAACCTTCGTTCTTCTTCGTTTTTTTTCAGCAGAAAAGTCAGCACTGTTCTTTATTGAAGGAATTTAAGCCTTCTCCCGATAGCGAAATGACAAAACTTCTAACAATTGATAACTTCTTTCCCTGACTACGTCATTCTCGCAAAATCTCAGTAGAATAACGACAGCTATCACGTTCTCCCGCCAAAATGACGCTGGTTCACGCGCGCGAACTACTAATCTCGTACTCGTAGTCGTACTAGTCTTAGAATCTAAAGGTCTCTAATTATTAGTCGCAGACAACGGATTTTCCCGAAGAGAAGAGAAATCTCTTTTCCTTTCACGGAAACTGCCTTTCTTTTGACGTCGTAATTTCAATCTCAGGTTTCTATTCTGACCTGATGGCGAGGAGGGCTTCTTTGCCGTTGGTAAAAATCTTTCAGTAATTGTAGTCTGTCTGGAGGGCAAGACTCTCTTAACAGATGGTGCTATATTTGCAGTAGTGTTCGTACCCACAGAACAGCACTCCTTGCTCTCATCCCTTCCATTATCTTCGTCTATCGCAAGTGGTTTCTTTGCATCTGCATCTGATTTTTCTGGAACATGATTTAGGTTACTACTACTACTACTGACTGTTTCAATCTGCAAATCTTTGTGCGAGCTGTTAGTGACTTTAGGGCTTGAAGCCACGATAACGGAGTGCAAAAATTTAGTTGGATTGCAACATGTCAACATGCACTTGCCAAACTTATCATTTCCATAAGGACAAGGTTTCCTTTTCGGTTTTATAACTTTGGTGATGAGACATGCATCGTCATCGCTGCCATCATGGTCTTCCTTGTTTCCACAATCTAGTAAGTTAACTTCTGACAACATTGCCTCTCTGTCAACGTCTTCACTCGAGTCTGCCTCTGCAGCTTTAACAACCTCTGTAGACTTGCGCATGCTGTTCAGTTTTGCCAGCTTTTGTTTTCTGGATTCAGGACTACTTACTCCTACACCATCAACGGTTACATTGGACTTAACACCAGTGTCACCTGTTTTTGAATTTCCTTTACAGTTTGGGTTCTCTGTAATAATCCTTAGATCCTCTTCACTTGTTTGCGATGAACACTCTGAATCAGTGTCTCTTATAACAATCGCCTGGACCTCACCTTCAAAATTACCTGCCTGTTTTTCCACTGTTTCTGTATACACAGCATCGGATAATGTAAGTAAGACATTAGGAAGCACCGATGCGGAGTGTAAACTATCCAAAAAATAGCTGGCACAAGAACGGGAATTTTCGGAGAGGTATTCTTCAAGATTGCTGGGCCCTGCCTCGTTAGATGTTTCGGCAGACAGGCGACGTCGCTTCCTCAAAGGCGATGCACCATCTCTAAAAGCTGTTTTGACACTGCTTCTCAACTGGATTTGTTCTTCTTGAGTGCGCTTGAGCTCTGCAAGAGGGGCGTCATCGTCGGAGATGGTGCACACATTGACCTCACAGTCTTCTGTTGTAGAAGAACCCTCGCCTTCATCGCTGGTGTAAGGATCCATGGAGCGGTCTCCCACCGGCCTTTGCCGGGTGCTGGAATAAGGCAAAGTATTACCGCAGGTATCACAGTGCCATTCCCCTGGGGATCTTTTCCAGTGTTGACACTTCAGATGTGTTCCAAACTGGCCGCATGAATCACACAAACGTATGCGCCACTTTCTACGACACAAAGATGCCAAGATCAGGCAAAAAACGGATATTTATGAACACTTATACGATTGTCAATAGCCCTTTCCTGCATTCCTGTAAACAAAGGCATCAATTCGAGGCTCGGGTGGACAGTGATTTGTATGAAATTGTCTACCCGAGGAGCCTCGACCTCATTTCTTTATCCTTACTCACTGGAGCGGAATGCGGGAAAGGTCAATTGGTCATTTCGAGTATGCACATAGGACTGAATCAGTACTGTGTCGAACTGCATCACGGGACTGTTTTGAGGACGCTACCGCTTTTTTAATTGGCCAAAGCGCAGCCTCGGAATGGATAATAGAAACCTTGAAATTTGAAGACGAGGACGAAATTTGACTTGAAAGTTGCGTATTCTAAAAAAAAGGCACCCTGGAAAGCTTCATTTTACTTTATTTTCGCCAGAAAAGTTAACAAGGTTATTTGTATTTAAGGAGGTTAAGCAGTAGCATTTGATCACATGTTTCCGTGACTACAACATTTTCGCAAAAACCCTTAGTGGAGTAACACCGATTAACGCGTTTTCCCGCCACAATGACGCGCATTACTCCTAGTTCTCGTAGTCGTCCTCGTCTTAGAATCTTAAGGTCTCTCACTGCACAGCCAACCTTAGAGAAGTGCCTCTCTTAGTAGGGTGGCAAAAGAAAAATGTCTGAAGAACAAAATGGCCGGTTATGAAACCATTCATTTTAAGAGAGTACACTGTAGCGTATTGCTATAAGATAAAACGCCGTGGTATTGGTAAATTTTTAGGTGTAAAGCGAGGAAAGAAGGCTGTATTCGCAGGCTAGTGTGTTAGAACGTATCTGAATTGCTTTATTTGCCTTGATTAGCCCTGCTGTTTACGGGCAGAGAAGTAAATAAATCTTCGTTTTTAATGTTGAAATAAAACTATGTATTCTTCTAATTGGGTGCAGCGTATATTCGAGCGCAGCGTTTTTGGCTAATTTTGCTTTCATCTGCGGCGTTTAATCGAGCAAATGCGGTATCTACAGTTTGAACCAATACTCTAACATTAACAAAGCTAGAGTTAAAAACAATGCATTAGAACAACAGTAATAAGACATGTTTAAATTCGAGGACGATATTGCCTATTCTCAAAAAATAGACACTCGGGAAATCTTCAGCGTACCTTTTTTTCACCAGAAAAACCCGTGATAGAATGACGACGGCTGTCACGCTTTCCCGCAAAAATGACGCTGGTTCACTTGCACGTCCTTGTTTAGAATCTAAAAGTCTCTATAAAAGACCCTTCCACAGTTTTTTAACTTTTGATAGGGACAAGTTAGGAAAAATCCGTAGACAACACTTGAAAGAGCGCCTTAAAATTAGTGCAATTGCCAAGTTTGAAATAGAATACGAGCAGTCTCTCTTTTTCTCCAGATTTAGTGAGAGCAGTGCACGCGCGCGGGAGCGGCGAAGTCGCGAGACAAGCGAAACCAGGGCGGCACCCTCTCCCGTCTCGCACCTTCAGTCACGCGCGTGGTCATTTGCGTGTCTCGCGCCTTTTGCTAGATTTCAGTCACGCGCGTGGTTATTTGCGTGTCTTTAGATTCGAGGACGAGGACGACTCCGGGGACGATATCGCGTCTTCTAAAAAATAGACACTCGGGAAATCTTCACGGGTTTTTTTTCCACCAGAAAAGTTAGCACGGATATTTTTATCGAAGGAGGTTCAGCCCTCTCCCGAAAGCAAAATGATAAAACTTCTGACATTTGAGAACTTGCTCCCGCAGCTAAAACCCGAGGTAGAATGACGACGGCTATCACGCTTTCCCGCAAACATGACGCTGGTTCACGCGCGCGTCCTTGTTTAGAATCTAAAAGTCTCTATAAAAGACCCTTCCAGCTATACCTTCGTTAGTTTACTTTTCAACAAATCACATTCAAACTTGGGCACGATTTTCTCCTACCTCGTCCGTGGAAAAAACCGTGGATAGGTCTATTATCCTTTATACTAATGATCATTATAGGAAGCAAATAAATTATCTATACCCCGATCTTTGCTCATGTTCTCTGCCGTGTGGACAAATGCATTTTTCCGCATCACAGCGACTGTATTGAAACAGAAGATCAGCAAATGCATCACCTTTTTCCCAACTGGCATCCCTATAAATAAAGAAAGAAAAGATACAATTACATGCCACTGGCCTGTTAGTAACACTCAAGGCTACCAAATAGATACCTTGAAAAACGCAGGAACCAAGAAATACTGGTGAGGAGAGGTGGAATGGTAGGCAGGGGTTTCAATAAGCACCGACGGCCGACGAAACGCGTCGGCTACTTTGCTCATAGAAGCAACTAGTTTGAATAACTTTGTAAACAAAAAATATAATCATAAAATCTGAATGAAAACGTAATTATGATGTGCTTTCATAAAGGCCCACTGGTTTTACGTTATGCTTTAGTCATGTGAAAGCTATATTTCAGTCAATTTTACACAGTTTTACGCAGAATTTGTTTACGTGCAAAAGTACGTAATTTAGTTTTCATCATTTGTTCATTGCTCGTAGTAATATATCATATAACCGATAGATCGAAAGTTGAATGAAAGCTACATTTTATTGAATAAAAAACACGATTTTTTGCCCTCAATTTAGTCCCCAGAACGCTGAAAATCTCATTTTAGGGCTTTGAAATTTAAAAAACTTCTAGGGAAGCACGCCCACAGACCTCCTCCCTAGAAAAAGGGGACTAACAGCCCCTTTAAGATACAGTCGGTTACTCTATTCAAACCTGCTGCCTACTTCAATCATTTTTTTATTGACACCACTGTGTAGGATGCAGGAGAAGTGTGAGAAGGCGAGAGGCGGTCTTCGCTCGCTCGCGAGTTCTCCTGCGCCTTGCTTTGCTCGTCAGCGGAGAGCTTCCTCGCAGGCTATCCCCCAGAAACAAATGAAAAAAAAATGGCAATGCTTACTGTTCTGGGATATAAATGCCCATCCTTTTCATTTCCTGTTGAAATTGCTCCATGTTGTTACACACTGGACATCGGAAATAAAAGAGACCACTTGAATGTGCATGTCTCTGTAACCAAATATATCAAAAAACATGTTATAAAAATAATTGGGGAAATCAAACACAAAAAAGTCAAATTCTACGCTACTTTTCTCATTTCCCATCTACTTCAAAAAAATTGGGTTGCCACGGTTATGCAAAAATTTATCACCTCCTTTCTGTGTTTGGCATACCACACCACACTGCCCCCTTATTGCCGGGATTTTGAATAATTAACGACTTTTCGCAATGGCCGCGTGAAAACTGCCAAATTTACAAAACTAACGATTTTAGCAATGACCTTGCAAAAACCGCAAAATATACAAAATTTTGATCCCTTTGCTATGATTGTAAGTAAGTGGTGCTTCGAACCAGCTAAACCCTCCGAGAGTTAACAAAGAAATATCTACATCATAACTGAGAAACCTCTTGCCCATCTGTAGGCAGACACGCGGTTCATGCTTGGGCCATAAATCTGAGTCAACAACTCAGTCCACAGGTAACCGGACAGACTTCAAACTGGTTTCATTTAGGTTACCGGTATTTATTACCTGAAGACAGCTGTTGTGAAACCATGAATTTCTACAACAGGGTGTCTTAAGAGGAACCTCAGCAAGAGAAGTACGACTGTTCCAATCAATTTCGCACAAACAGATTGGACACGTTTGGCCGTTACTTTCCCTCAAGTTAACACTTTGTGTTGGACGGTGGACCAGGCAGTAAGAGCTGCAATAAAATTCAATGCAGCAAAAATTAGGTGCATTCCTAGGGGGGTATTTTGTAAATAATTTTTGGCATAGGGCTGTGGGGTGGTGAGGCCCTGGAATCCTACACATGTACAAGGCAGTGTTCAGTTACATTTTAGTACAGCAGTGACATGTAAGTCTCAAAAAAAGAGCCAACAGACAATGTCCGGCGATGATGACCACCCACCAGGACAAACTTTTGGTTGAAATACCAGTAAGTAAAAAAAAAAAAAAATAACAACAACCACACCCACGTTACCCATTGCTTCTTAAGAGGGCAAGCATGGTTTTTTAACCTTAACTCAAATACAAAGCAAGGAGAATGCCTTTTAGATTTCCAATTTTAAGTGAGAGTGGTTTGCAAAAAATTTCAGTCATGGTGAAACATATCTGCCTTAGTAGCCTGTCATAATTTATTTTTGAGCAAGAGTGAGTACAAATTAAGATTGTTGTTGTTGTTGTTGTTGTTGAGAAAACTGCCGACATTTGGCAATGTTACCACTTGTTTCCCTGCCAAATGGCATCTGCGAAACAAGTGCAGAAATTCCATACTGACGATGCGTCACTACCCAGATCTGGGAATTGCTTCTGATTGGTGGAAGACAGTGTTGACACGATGACTGGCCAAATTCATTTTAGCTCAGTCATGTATTGTTTCTGGCCGGTCAAATTTATAAGATAAAAATAACTCTTAAAACAGGGGCCCATGAACCAAAACTGGCATAATATATTTCCAAAAAAGTCATTGCTCAGAGCTTATAGCACTTTAATTTATTGTACACATTAAATTATTTTGTCCAGTGCCTCCAAAGATAAGGATTTCTGGTGTGCACATCGCGGTGTGAGATCTTAATCCCAAAACTCTACAAGTAATCCCTGTTACTCCCCATTACAAGGGAAGAAAATTTGTATTCATCGAGAATATAAACTTATAAAAGTGAAAATATTTTTAATCTTGTGACCGGAAGTGTGTGAACCCCCTATGTCTGTTTCAATGCCCATATTGTAAACAATGGTTCTAGTTGCATTTCACCCATGATTTCAGATTAAAGTTCTGCAAGACACACCGACAAACAAGCATGGCCAAATGTTATTACATTTCATTTTCAATACGATTGAATGTGACCGGTCAACATGACCGGCAAGACGAAAGGTTGACCTGTCAACTCCCCAATCAGTCTGGACATTGTCCATGGACTGGCTGTTATTTCGAGCCCTGCAATGTACTGCACTTGTGTGAATTTAAAACATAATGTCACAGAGATAAGTTTGTGATGATATTTCTATATTGTCTTTGGTGGTTAATTCTTAACAAACCCAAGCCCAATCTCTATTCAGGGGAAACCTCTATTCAAGGGCCACTTGCCTCGGTCGCAAGGTTGTCCCCTGAAAAGAGGTTCCACTTTAATGTCATGTTGTGGTCATCTCCCTGAGTGAACTTGTCCTATATTAAACCAGATGGCTTACTTGAAGCTGTCGAAGAACTGAAACAACGAGCCTCTCTCTCGTCCACATTTGTAATGAAATGCTTGGGAGCATCTTGACTGACAGCAACCAATAGTTGCACCAAGTTTCTTGCAAAAATTACACCTCTGTAGAAATATTGACTGGTTAACATAAAAAAGGCATTTGCTCAATAAGATAATATAATTATAATATGAAGACTCAGCATGCAGAGAAAGTCGTGTCCGATAGCTTGGCAGGCTAATGGATTTTGCTATCAGGCTACTGAATTCTGTTCTTAAATTGCCTGATGGGCTAGCAGGGTTCAAAGAAAATCATTTTTACAGCTTGTCATTCGGGCAAGCTGAATCTAGTGTTTTACTAGCCCACAAGTCATTTCACCTGGCCCCAAGGCAAAAGCTTTTTGATGAGTAGAACTGATTTCACAGTTCTTCTGTTATTCAGATTCCTCAAAAAAACACCACTTGCCCGTTGGGCAAGTTAGAAACAGAATTCATTAGCCAGATAGCAAAATCCACTAGTCCCGGGCTATCGGACACTACTTTCTTTGCACGCTGGGCTAGTGATTTATTTTTTGGGGTATTCAAATTAAAGAAGAACTGCAGTCAATTCTGCCCATCAAAACTTTTTTCAGGCTAGTTCAGATGACTCTTGTGCTAGTACACGTTAGCTACAGCTTGCCTGAACTGCAAGCTATAAAAATGATTTTGTTTGCACCCTGAAGACAAGAGTAATTTCTTTAATGAAATCAAATCAAGAATACTAAGGTTTTATTTCGTTTGATCTAAATCTGGATTTTGCAATTGAGGATCACTGTGAATGATCCACCTCTGCACTTGGATTGGTTAGATTGGAATCTCAAGCTGGTTTCGACTTTTGGTTACATTTAACGCAACTGCTTTTTGATCACAAGAATGTGCTTACAGTTCATCAGGTTATCCATAAACATGGCAGGTAAAGGTGAGTTCAGGCCCTAAATTTTTGTTTTAACAAATTGTTTTTATTTATTTACCAATCTTCTTGATCTTGAAATTTCTTTCTTTATGTCTGTCATTAAAAACCCATCAAATCCTTCATCATCCTCTCCTCTTTGAGCCAAACCTGAGGCAAAGAGCTAGAAACACACAAAGCCAGTTCAATAAGTAAAAACTTTTTCATGAAACTGTTCTTATCTGCTGAGATTCTGTTATTTTCCTTCTTACTTTGGCCATTTTTTGAAAGTACTCTAAAGTTACTGAATTTTGAATTGCATATGACTAGTTTTTACTGGACAAATAATTATTGTTACAACCACATTTACTGAAGCAATATCTTTACATTTAGACAGACCGATTTTCTTATTTTCGACACGCTTTGTAGTTGATCATCATTTCCAGTATTCTTAATCATTTCTACTTTGCTCAAGCACTAATGTTTTGTGGTAAAATTTAGGCAGCAAGCAATCTCTCCATTTATCTTTTGAGATATCAGTAGTAATGCATGTGTGACGGTCTGTCAAGTACAAAGGGCAAGCAATGTTTTCTACCATTTCACTGGCCATGGAAATGGAGACATACTAAGTGATGCAATATAACTAACAAGGCAATGGTGCAATCATCTTGCTGATTGGAGGTGTTCAGGGTTGTTAAGGGCCGGGGGAAAAGGATTTCCCCCAGCTTCAAGCCCGTGATCCCCAGCTACTTTCATAGCGAAAAAAAGAGAAAATAGAACCCAAAGGCCCACCTCTTGCTTTCATGTAATAATACCTGGCACCCTGAAAAAATCAAAGTGGTCCCGCCCTGGGTCTTAGACCCAGCATTATAGTTACCAGAGTCAAATTTCTCTTAAAAATATCGCTCCAAATTCAATGTGCAGGTCAAGGGAATGAACCAAATGATCAGAACTGATCAACAATAAATTCTCTCAAGCAGTACAATAAGAAACAATGGAGAACAGTGAGGAGAATATAGATGTTGAAATTGGGGTTAAAAACCCTTGGTTGGTGGTCAAGAAATTGACTGGGCTTCTGATAAGTCGCAGAAAAAAAAGTCAAATTAAGTGGAATTTTCAGAAACAGATTTGCAGAAAAATCAGCTGATTTCGTGGGAATTTTTGGGGCTAACTTCGCCAAAAAACAATTGGTAAAAAACGGACAATTTTGTTGGAAAATTCTGAGCAAATTTCACTAGAAATCGATCCATTCTGTGCTGATTTGACAAGCGCATTTAATGTTTCTTAACAGAGTAAATCATTGCTATTTTAACAACAAAGAGCATGAGAAATGAGCCAATGGCATGAAGCTTTTAATATAATGACTAGTGCCCAGTTTTTCACAATATAATTTATGGCTGGTAGTTTTGGAACGTTGTTCGCTCATTGTGGTTATGAAGTTTACTGGAATTAAACAGCTCCAATAGCCGAGATAAGTTTCAAATATGTTATACCAACATGTATTTGGAATGATGAGATTTCCAGCGAATGTCACGGCTCCACGACCACGCGAAATATCAGAAGCCCTCACCTGAGCACTTAAGCCTAACCAAGAATAACCAAGCTCTAAGGAAAATTGAAGGGAGCCCAGCATATGATTTGTATGAAAAAATCAAGATTTTCTAGTCACCTTAGAGCAAAAGTCAGGCGCCAAGGGCCACCAGGCTCTGTTAGAGCACAGCCCCGATAAGTAATAAGCATGTTGGCCCTCTTTCTTAAAAATAAAGTGGTTATTAAAAAGTTCCTTTTTCTTACCAAACAGTATTGATGAACTGAAAATCCATCTTCTTTGGCAGTAAAAAATTTGCCAAACACTTCTTCATTTGGTCCCTCTTTACACAGTCTGCAAACGCTACTTCCTGTTTAAACAAGAAATTTCTTGTCATAAATAATACAATCAATTCTGTCTAAGATGGACCCTGTTGGGCCAGCACTCATGGCAAAAGCATGAACTGACCAACCAGAACAACTGTCTTGAAAATAGAATAGGCATTTTTCAAGAACTTCCACTAATGACCCATCATTAGCACAGTGTATACTAATATGACAGTAATTTGTTACAATATCATCCTATAAGCAACAGTGGAACCCAGTTAGTACGGACATTGAGAACACATACCTTAACCACTAGTACTAGTGTCACTTTTATCATCAGAAAAAATCTCATAAAAAATGTCAGGACACATGAGGGGTGGGCTTCTTAGGTGGGGTTCCCACAACCTCATTCCCAGCATCCTCTCTCCTCTCTCTCAGTCTGGGAAATGAGTGAAATACAACATAGGACCTTGGGAACACAAAGGTTGCTTCTCCTACGTGTGAGTGCCTTTTGAACTATAGTGGGATGTCAAGGTGACAAACAGGTATTTGTTCTGATCTCCCAAACATTGAGACAAAACTGAATTTTATGATTGAATTCCTATCGGTTTAGGGTTAATCCATGGTCCAATGGTGACTTGCACCAACATCACTTCAGTGTGGTTATAATGTAACTAATCCACAGTTAAGGAGGCAAGCATATCGTCCCAGCGAGAGGCCGAACAAGTCCTCCCTGGAACAGTATTTGTTTATGGTGGAAATTAACTAACACTTTTGTGATTACATCGACTCATAAATATTTCTTGTCACGCGAGAACCAAACATTTTTTAAATTACATAGAGTGGACTCAAACTTATCAGACAGGTTTGAAATGCGAGGGGCGCCAATTTGATCACAGCTCGTTCGAAAATCACAGGAACATCAATTAATCCAGCAATCGACGCGAGCACGTCACACGCGATGTACGCCCATTTTAATTGCATTTCAACATTTCCTTAAAACAATTCAACGTGAACGACGAGAAGTCCGTAGATCAAACCAAAGAATCAAAAGGTTTAGCTTGTGGCCAATTACTGATTACTGGATCACAATGCTCTGTACGCGGCATGGGATCCGTACAATGAAATGCAAGATGAAACCCTAGCCTTTACAGCTCGTCATCGACAAAGAACTAGACTTAAACAAATACTTTACCTAACAAAAATTCTTCCTCTTTCAATCGCTTGCGTTCACGTTGCCGCATTCTCAATTATAAAACATTCCAACTCGTGAAGAAGAAGAAGCTCATACTATAAATTCATGTCTTCTTCATTCTTCTTCATTCAAAATGCAACGGATATCTCTCCAGTCTTCCTCTGGCAAAGCGATGGAAAAGGCACTGGGTCGGTACATACTATAGGCACGTTTAGTGTGCAAAACATCGTAATCAGGGCGCCTTGGGGGCCGTTTTTCGAAAGTCCTGGTAACTTTTCGGTTCCGAAATCAAATATTCCAATCGAAATAAAAAGAATAAGAGCTCGGGTCCTGGCTAGCAAACTACTCCATTGTGTTTCGTTAACTGATAGTTTTATCATGTTAAATTCAAAACTATTGAAACCTGGACGGAAACAGCTTACTGGGCCATTTAATTATCGGGACTTTCGAGAAACGGGCCCCTGGTCGGTGTGAGGGTGAGTGAAGAAATGATGGAAAAAATATTAGAAATCGATTTTATGAAGCCGAAACGCAGCCAATTAGAACTGAAAAGGTTGAAAATGAGTTTTTTAGTGATTTAGGGCAGTTTAAATATGGTCTACAAACCATTGAACTGTTTACGAAAGGAAACTCTGACATATTGGATTGAGGAGCACCAATTGTAGCTAATTGTCGGTTGTAATACTAGAAATACGTTTTCCGAAAGAACCTCACGAGGCTGTAAAAGGCCAGTAGTAAGAATAAAGCGAAACAAGCCAAAGGGAAAAAGTATGATTAAAAAACAGAAAATAAATAGCTCAGCCAGTAGAGTGCTTGTTAGTGCAGAACGGGAGATCGTGAGTTTGATTCCAGGCGCTGGGCTGAGAAATAAGGGTACTGCCTTTGCCCTGGCCTGCAAATGGCTAAACCTTTGCGCGACTCGAATGACCACGCAAAATGGCAGTCCCGTCTCCAGTACGAGGTAAAAAAAACAGTGTCCTCAATTGGTACTTTAGTGCTAATTTCATAGCCTGCGAGCAAGTTCTTCGGGGCTCTCTGGCGTGGGGGAGGGAAAAGGAAGGGGAATTTGCAACAACGTCTGAGCTGTCATATCTCAGCCGATCAGCGCGAAGTGAAGACGAGCGCGAATGTAAACAAACATTGAAAATCACGTGCCAAGGGTAATGACGTCATTACTAATCTCATCTCCGCTAATCAGAATTTCGCATCGACTTTTTCGATGCAGATATTCAAATTCCTGAGACGCAGTTGCAAGCTCTCCTTCCTTTTCCCGTCCCGCCGCCAGAGTGCCCCGGAGAGCTTACTCGCAGGCAACTAAATTCATTGACACTCAAAGAAAGTGCATTTTTAAGGTAACTTGGGACCAAAGGTGAAAGAAGCAGTTCTTAATCTGACTAGTGCGTGACAAAGAAAACCGATGCCTCCGAGTCCCTGACAGGATTATGAACCAATTGTTACTAAAGGGGTGAATCCTCCTAGACTGTTTACAATCCCCAGTTTCTCCGTAAGATCGTCGAGATCGAGCGCTTTGCATTAGGGGCCGCCATCTTGGATGAGTGTCAAAACTACTTATGGCGCGGAGGGCGGTGTACATATGACACCAAGATGGCGGCTAGTAATGGTAAGCTTGCGATCCTGACCATCTTACGAAAAGTAAGGGACTGTCAACAGTCAATCCTCCCAGAAACTCAGATTTATTTTTTAAATGTAGAATGAACCCGTCTACCAATGCCTGCGTTTATTTGCCATTTAAATTAATTTCGTCTGTCTTGTGGCCTTGATTAATATTATAATTCATATAATGTCATAACTTACCACAGAACAAATTAAAGCAATGAATATCTTTTTATCTACAGCTCACCGTACAGGCCCGTAACCAGGGGGGGTGCACGGGGTGCGTTCGCAACCCCCCCACAGGCCCCAAAGGTCCGCCTTTTGATACTCAATATCCAAGTTAAGGCGTGCAGTCGGTTAAACTGAAATTTCAAACTTAACAGTGATATTTAAACAAAATCAAAGAATGGAAAAAGCAGTAGTGTATTCACTGGGAAAATAAAACCAGCTACACTCTAGTAGCCCGAGCCATTCAGAGCATTTCAATGAGCGCACAGATGTCCGAGCTTATGTAAATGAATAATGAAATTAACGTGCGCAGGCCCCGGGGCGCAGGCTTTGCACGGGAGTTTACGACGAGCGAGACAATGACAAGGGAGCGATCTCACGATTTTTGTCAGACACGTCCGCTAACGCGTTGGGTAGTATTCTCTATTTGTACGAGCGCATGAACGCCTGAAGATGCAAAATTAGTTTTTTGTGTAATACGTTATGGGTAGGAGAGAACAGGAAAATAGAAAGGGGAAGGCTGCAGCTAAATCTTGCCAGTCTCTCGATACAACACAGGAAAAAATAACGGATTCCCATTTTTGGATATTTTAGGGTATTTAAAGAATACCCACAAAAATCCCAAATTTGGAAGAGTGAGACAAGTCCCAATCTGGGAACTTAGTTGGGAATTCCCCGGTTGGGACTTGTCTCACTTTGTCAAATTTGGGATTTTTATGGGTATTCTTTAAATACCCTAAAATATCCAAAAATGGGAATACATTTTTTTTCCTGTGCAATGGGTCAGTAAAGTACCCCGTCAAGAGCCATCAAACGCTCACAATGACAGTGCAGTCTGCGATGACAGCCCAGCTGAAACCACGACTTCAGATCTATCTCAGTTAACTACAGTTTTACAGCGAGATATAAACGGTAAATCATACTCATTTTTGCAATGTCCACCAGTCTTGATCCCATTATTATGCTCTGAGATTTAGTCGCTACACCCACGGAGGCTGGAGCTCGGAACTGTTCTGACGGATTAGTTCCGCAGTATTTTGATGTATCATTTTACATCGTAAAATTACTCCTTTATAACTAAATTCAAACAGTTGTAATCGAAAAATGTAATATTCAGTTCCTACCGTGTACTTTGCCGTTACAATTTCTCATGTATTGCTACTTTCCTAAATAAACGGATCAGACGATAAAAAATACATTTCCGTAGTTGGGTCCGCTTAGGCCTCGTTAGCACCCCCCGCATAAAATCCTGGTTACGGGCCTGGCCGTATCAATTAAATACTGACAAACAGCAATGACTAGGTAGAATAACTTTTAGAAAGAAAAAATAGACAAGTGATACGATGACAAATATCTTTGTAAGACAACTAAGGACACATTCACGGGAAGTATGTTCCACTATTGTTTAATGTCACGTTTAATATTTTTAAGACTTTTCAAAGAATTTAAAAAATGCAAAACTAATTATTTAAAAATAAATTACTTATGGAAGCCAAGAGAGTATGAAAGGCGTCAATTCGAGAAGAACGAGTAGCTCTGGGTCAAACACATGCAACACATTCGCACCATGTGATTAGCTATTGCCTAATCCCCTTGGGATCTTCATTCTGCTAAACAGGTCTGAAAATGTCTCGAGACCGTGAATTACCTGTGGAAAAGGGTGTGATGCGGTATACCTTCTCTTGCCCCTTCATACTCTCTTGTTACGTAGAAACCTATTTTTAAGCTAAATATATATCTCAACACGCTCTCTTTTTCCGACCATCTGAACCTCTGTTTGCTTCTTTTCGACGCCTTCTGTCTGTTCCCTGACTTCTTTTTGTTTTTGTTTTCCTTCCTTTTTATTCCCTGTATCTCCTTTGGTTTTGTACATGTCCTCGAAATGGGAGAGCAAAACAGGCGTTGGAAAGCAAAAAAGGACCACGATCCCTGAAATGGCGCACACAGCCCCAATAAGTTTACCCAACGCGCCTTTCGGCACTTTGTCTCCATAACCGACCGCGGTCATGGTCACGATCGCCCACCAAAAGGCGTCTGGGATACTTTCAAAATCATTATCCTTGACGTCATTTTCTACGTAAAATATCACACTGGAAAAAAGCACTATGTTGATTATTAGAACAGCAAATAGAGAAGGAAGGTCTTTTCCACTTATAAGTAGCGTTTGAGCCAGCACCTTTAAGCCCTTGCTGTAACGAGAAAGTTTCAAAACCCGTAAAACACGCACCAACCGGATTATTCTCAGAACCGGAAATGACGTCAATATGGTTCCATCGTCCCTAAAAATAAGCGTGATGTAATAAGGTAAAATAGCTAAAAAATCAACAAGACCTAAGGGCGAGCTGATAAATTTCATTTTGTTCGGAGCAGATATCACTCGCATGAGATACTCAAACGTGAACCACGCGACGTAGGCTGCTTCTATTGTCTGCCAGTATTCCCCGTGCAGCGTGCAATGTGTTTCCACAGTAACGACTTGTGAATCGTGTGAAGAAAAAAGGGTCGTGTTATTTAAGATACCACCATTTACAGCTCTTGTAGTGACGTTCCGACAAATTTCCCGTGGGCGCAGCGACGGAAATGTCTCAATGCAAAATGTTACAGTCGACATGATTATAACAAGAAGGGAAAATTTCGCAAGCAAATCGGCAAAGATTGACGAATCAGGATACTCGAAGAGCTTCCAAATTTTGCGTTGAAGCGGATGAGTAGGCAGCTCTTTCGGTACCTCAACCTCCTCTTCAGGCTCAATTTCCTGTTTGTAACGCTTGTCAACCTCATGTAACTGAAAAAATTTGACCTCTTCCAAGAAGCTCTCCCGAGGGACGTGTTCGGGACACGATAAGATCCCGCAAGATTGATAAAAGAACAATATTGAGTCAAATACCGATTTATCTCGATCAAAGCAGTATTCTTTACTCAAAGGGTTGTAATATTCCACGCGCTTGCTTGGTGAGCCGAGCAGTGTTTCGGGGTACTGGGCCAGAGTTTGTTCGTAAGTCTCGAACACCATTCCCCTGACATTGATGCGTATTCTAATACCCGAATCCGCTGTCGCGAATGTCTGCGTGCGATATTCTAAGTTATCTCCTCTGGTTAGGTAGCGATCGCCTATATCATATCCATCACCTGCACGGGATGAAACAGCTGCAGCAGATATGGCGTGCATAGCTGCTGATTATCCCACGATCGGTCTGAAATGCAACAACAATATTAAATAAGTAACATTTTGTATCTTTTTTGCTCTCCACAGAACATGCACTTAGGGGATCTGAAGAACTCGTCTGGACGT